TTTGCTGTCTGGCTCAGGAAACTCAGACAGAGGCTCTGTATCCACCTGGAGGAGTGGGATGGGGAGGGAGATGGGAGGGAGGCTCAAAAGGGAGGGGATATATGTATACCTATGGCTGATTCATGTTGAAGTTTGACAGAAAACAACACAATTCTGTACAGTATCCTTCAATTAAAAAATAAATTGACTTTAAAAAAAAGGGTAGATAATGTGACTGGAGGAAAACCTGGAGAAAATATTCTATAAAATGTCAAGGTAGGCTTTTAAGAAGCAAGAAGTGGGGAGCAGGTTGGGTAGGAAATGCGTACATTGGGATTGCTTTTGAGCCTTACTGGGCTTGTCTTTCAATGTCTCTGTGACACGCCTAAGAAGAAATAATACAAAGGAATATGCTAGTACAAATATGGAAGAAAACATTACTTAAATGAAGAAAAGAAATTAACAGACATTTAAAGCAAAACCAAGGTGTCGAATATTTCAAAGTTCAGGTATGATGACAGAAAACAAGTCCTTAGTTTTGGTAAGTGGAAGATCACTAGTAACCTTCAAGTACTTTTCAAAGGAACTGAAACATTTGAGAAGTTTCATCAATTTTCGTCCATCACCTGCTATATTTCTGGCATTACACTACTGCACAGGAATGAAAAGGATGAATATCAAGGAATTCACTGCCCAGTAGAATGGTGGTGACAGAGTCAGTGTGGGAGATGCAGGACTGTGGTTTGACACTGATGAAGGGTTAAGAGAAGTCTTATCGTAGTTATCCCTTCCAATGCCAGAAAAGAGAAAGACTTGGGGTTTTAAGGTTGTCCATGGATTTGTTAATTGGCACATTGTTAGGGAAAGTTCCAGCCAATGGAAAGGGATAGATGAAGACTTCTTTAAAAAATGAAACAGCAAGATATGTAGAAACACTAAGAGGTGGGATAAAGAGACCAGACCAAATGGCTAGCATTGAGAAGAACATTACTAGGACAAGAGGAAAGAAATATGATTAAAGGTCTGGTCTGATAATACTGAAGTATAGAATTTGAAGAAATGTGAGTCTAATGTTTACTTATTTTTTCTTCCACCATAAAATAAGAGACAAGTTTAGCTGATAGAAAAGGGGCCAAGACAAGGAATGTAGGAAGGGCATGTGACTAAGGTAAAATAAAAAACTGCTGGTCACACATCAGTGGGGACTCAGCAGAGGTTGAACATTATAGATTTAAATTATAATGCATTAAGCACAATTACAGAAACACACATTAGGCATTGTAGAAGAATCAAAGGTGGTACTTTACAAATTCTTGAAATTTAACATTCCAAAAACAAAGCTCACAGCCTACCCTCTAAGCCTGCATTTTCCCCTATGTCCTTATTTCACTCTGTGTTACTCCCATCCTCCTTGATGATGTTGCTGGGTTGCTACATCATGTCCAACTCTTTGTGAACCCATGGATTGCAGCATGCCAGGTTCCTCTGTTCTCCACTATCTTCCAGAGTTTGCTCAAATTCATGTCCATTGAGTTGGTGATGCTCTCTAACCATCTCATCCTCTGCTACCCCCTTCTCCTTTTGCCTTCAATCTTTCCCAGTGTCAGGGGCTTTTCTAGTGAGTCAACTCTTTGCATCAGGTGACCAGAATACTGGAGCTTCAGCATCAGTCCTTCCAATGAATACTCAGGGTTGATTTCCTTTAGGATTGACTGGTTTGATCTCCTTGCAGTCCAAAGGACTCTCAAAAGTCTTCTCCAACACCATAATTCAAAAGTGTTAATTCTTTGGTGCTCAGCCCTTTTTAAGGTCCAATTCTCACATCCATAGATGACTACTGGAAAAACTTTCATAGTTTTATTGATTATATGGACCTTTGTTGGCAAAGTGGTGTCTCTGCTTTTAAACATGCTGTCTAGGTTTGTCATAGCTTTTCTTCTAAGGAGCGACAGTCTTTTAATTTCATGGCTGCAGCCACTGTCTGCAGTGATTTTGGAGCCCAAGAAAATAAATTCTGTCACTGTTTCCACTTTCCCACCTTCTATTTGCCATGAAATGATGGGACTGGATGCTATGATCTTAGTTTTTTGAAAGCTGAGTTTTAAGCCAGCTTTTTCACTCTCTTCTTTCACCTTCATCAAGAGACTCTTTAGTTCCTCTTTGCTTTCTTCAATTACAGTGGTATTATCTGCATATCTGAGATTGTTGGTATTTCTCCTGGCAATCTTGATTCCAGCTTGTGAGTCATCCAGCCTGGCATTTGGCAGGATGTACCCTGCATATAAGTTAAATAGGCAGGGTGACAATATACAGCTTGATTGTACTCTTTTCCCAATTTTTAACCAGTCCATAATTCCATGTCCAGTTCTAACTGTTGCTTCTTGATCTGCATACAGGTTTCTAAGGAGACAGGTGTAAGGTGATCTGGTATTCCCATCTCTTTAAGATTTTTCCACAGTTTGTTGTGATCCACACAGTCAAAGACTTCAGAATAGTCAGTGAAGCAGAACTAATGTTTTTCTGGAATTCCCTTGCTCTCTCCATGATCCAATGAATGTTGGCAACTTGACTTCTGGTTCCTCTGCCTTTTCTAATCCCAGCTTGCACATATGGAAGTTCTCAGATTTTGTACTGTTGAAGCCTAGCTTGAAGGATTTTGAGCATAACATTAATAGGATGTGAGATGACTGCAACTATATGGTAGCTTGAATATTCTTTGGCAATGCTCTTCTTCCGGAATGGGATGAAAACTGACCTTTTCCAGTCCTGTGGCCTCTGCTGAGTTTTCAAATTTTGCTGACATACTGAGTGCACCACTTTAACAGCATCTTTTAGGATTTGAAGTAGCTCAGCTGGAATTCTGTCATCTCTAGTAACTCTGTCTGCAGTCATGCTTCCTAAGGCCCACTTCACACTTCAGGATATCTGGCTCTAGGTGAGCAACCACACCATCATAATTATCTGGGTCATTAAGACCTTTTTTATATAGTTCTGTGCATTCTTGCCACCTCTTCTTAGTTTTCTTTTGCTTCTGTTAGGTCCCTACTGTTTCTGTCCTTTACCATGCCCATCCTTGTTTGAAATGTTCTCTTGACATCTCCAATTTTTTCCAATCTCTTTCCAAGAGCACTCTAATCTTTCCCATTCTATTGTTTCCCTCTATTTCTTTGCACTGTTCATTGAAGAAGGTCTTCTTACCTGTCTTTGCTATTCTTTGGAATCTGCATTCAAGTGGGTATATCTTGCCCTGAAAACTAGTCTCAAAGACCTGAAATCACCTTCAACTTCATTTCTTTATCCTCAAATCCAACAATCACCAGGTATTTTTGATTACACGGGTGGCATTCTTATCTCCTCCATCCTTTCTCCACTGTTCTACCTCAGACCGACAACCTTTTGTAAGGCCTGTTAATCTACTCCTCTAATATTGTTTCTCTATGTATCCATTTTATATACTATCATCCTAAAACACAACTCTGTTCCACATAGATGATAATTCCAGATTTTCAGCATTCAAAGCCCTGAACACATCATGGTCCATTTTTCTTGTTTCAGCTTTGCTGCCTTCTGTGCCTGCCAAAGCTATGTTCTAGCCACTAAGAATCTATTATTTTTTTCCTCACACATTTCCTGCAATTCCTCTTCTCTTTACTTTTGTCCAAGCTTTTTTCCACCTCCAGTGACCAGAATTTCCCCAACATAATTAATCTTTTCCCTCCACCCCGCCCCCACATACTGTACAAAATATCCATTAAGATGAAAATGCAGATATAGAAGATATGTAAGACCAGAGAGCTAGGAGATCAGAATCACAGAACTACACAAATCTCATATTTGACAGGTAATAAAAATTAAGGCCATATGTTTGTCTGGTTAAATTAGACAAAATTCAAGAGATGTGATGACAATCCAAAAATCCTGAGATTTTCTGACTCCTAGTATTTATGACTGGTGCCATGGCAGGTGGACAGCAGAATACCGAGAGTTTTTCTTTGGCTTTATTAAAAAAAATGATTAGCTAAGTAGCTTAACATTTTAGCTAAGGAGTTTTCATCAACTGTGAAATTCAAAACTACCTTATTGCACCGAAATTCAGTTCACTAGAAACCAGGGAGGGAAACATTCTCTGTGTCACTGAACTTGAAAATGTTCTTTTATTTTTTAGTGCTCTTTAAAAAAAAAAGGAGCTTCTATTTTTAATAGGGCAAAGCTCCTATTTGGAGTAAAATATCTGTATTTCTCTTAGGCTTGATCACTCTAGTAGATCCTCATTTTTCCTTACAGGAGTTTTCTCTGTTTCCTGTCAAGCTAGTGAGTTGATGAATCCAGTGCTGTACTGATCATCTGTTGTTTCTGCTCAGCCCCTCCGCTGCCGATTGTTCCTTCCATTTTCCCTGAACCACATCTCCCTTCCTTTTCCCTGTGGTTCAGGCGGAGCTCAGGGGGTTGAGTGCATGACCCAGGCCTGGTGGATGGAGCATCGTACCCCTGGTTCATAACTGGTTCATGAATAAGCCTATGTATCCAAGCTAAGCAAATCTACCATCACTGAACTTGAAAATGTTCTTTTATTTTTTAGTGCTCTTTAAAAAAAAAAGGAGCTTCTATTTTTAATAGGGCAAAGCTCCTATTTGGAGTAAAATATCTGTATTTCTCTTAGGCTTGATCACTCTAGTAGATCTTCATTTTTCCTTACAGGAGTTTTCTCTGTTTCCTGTCAAGCTAGTGAGTTGACGAATCCAGTGCTGTACTGATCATCTGTTGTTTCTGCTCAGCCCCTCCGCTGCCGATTGTTCCTTCCGTTTTCCCTGAACCACATCTCCCTTCCTTTTCCCTGTGGTTCAGGCGGAGCTCAGGGGGTTGAGTGCATGACCCAGGCCTGGTGGATGGAGCATCGTACCCCTGGTTCATAACTGGTTCATGAATAAGCCTATGTATCCAAGCTAAGCAAATCTACCGCAGTCAGTTATCCCAGTACCTGTGCTCAACTGATGAGAGTTGTGTTCTTTTGTGCTTAACAGGGAGCTGTGAGGATACAAATGTGAAGCTTCACACAGCCTTCTTGCCAGACTCATGGAACAAGGGTAAGCGATGAATAGGGACAGGGTTCTGATGATGATATTTGAACCCCTGGAGCCAAATGTGTCCCCAGCAAATTTATATCTGGACTTTTCATATACATAATACAGTAGTCGTCTCTTTCAGTATGAGCCTAGTCAGGTTGGTACATATAATCAAAAGTATCTCCTGACAAAGCTCATTCAGGCATTTTTGATAAAAGTGCTTGCTACTTGATGATTAGAACTTGTTTTACAGTTCAGCTCAAATGTACAGTTCTTTGAAAAACATAAAAAATAAAAAGGTTGGCAGACTTGTAAGTTTCCAAATGAGAATTGGAGGCCAACACTGTTATACTCAGCATAAGGGAAGTTAAAAGGAGAAATCATATTCTTATCTGAATTAAAAATAGAAATTTAAAGAATAATTTTATTTGGTTTTGGCTGCACCGAGTCTTTGCTGCCTAGTGCAAGCTTTCTCTGGTTTCGGTGAGCGGGGGCTACTCTTCGTGGAGGCGTGTGGGCTTCTCATTGCGGTGACTTCTCTTGGTGAGGAGTACAGACTCCAGGTGTGCGGGGTTTGATGGCCGCAGCACATGGGCTCAGTAGTTGTGGCGCGCAGGTTCGAGAGTTTCAGGATCGGCAGTTGGTGCAGGGGTTTGGCTGCTCCTCAAGATGTGGACTCTTCCTGGACCAGGGACTGAACCCATGTCCCCTGAGTTGGCTGGTAGATTCTTATCCACTGTGCCACCAGGTAAGTCCCATAAATTTGTTCTTAAAAATGTTTCTCCTGCTGCCATGTAAAGGAGTGCCAAAATTTTGTTCGAAACATATATGACAAAACTATGTAAAGATATAGATTACCCAGATAAATAAATTTATTGTGGATAATGGTAGGCAGACTTATTTTCAGAGAAGTGAATAATAAACATGGAAAGCAGAAAGTCTAGAATGAACTCTGTTGTGTTGAATTACAGTTGAAGCACCAGTGTGCACTCATGGTTTTTTGCTTTTAAATTTTATTGGATTTTAGCTGATTTATAGTAGTGTTAGTTTCAAGTGTACCGCAAAGTGATTCAGTTATACATACACATATATTCATTCTTTTATAGATTCTTCTCTCATATAAGTTATCACAGAATACTGGGTAGAGTTTTCTTGGTATACAGTAGGTCCTTGCTGATTATCTATCTTGTATATAGTAGCATGTGTATGTTATTCTCAAGCTCCTGATTTATCCCTCTCTTCCACATTCTCCCGCTTTGGGAATCATATGTTTGTTTTTGATATCTGGGAATGTTTTTATTTTGTATATAAGTTGATTTGTATCATTTAAAAAATCAGATTCCACATATGGGTGATATCATATGATATTTTTATTTGTCTGATTTAGCATGTTAATCTCTAGATCCATTCATGTTGCCACAAATGGCGTTATTTCTTTCTTTTTTTTTTATGGCTGAGTAATATACCATTGTTAAAGACTGAAGGCAGGAGAAGGAGGGAACCACAGAGGATGAGATGGTTGGATGGCATCACTGACTCAATGGACATGAGTTTGGGTAAACTCTGGGAGTTGGTGATGGACAGGGAGGCCTGGTGTGCTGCAGTCCATGGGGTCATAAAAGAGTCAGACAAGACTGAGTGACTGAACTGAACTGAATATACCATTGTATATACACAGCCGATTGTCTTTATCCATTCATCTTTTGATGGACGCTTAGGTTGCTTCCATGTCTTGGATAATTGTAAACAGAGCTGCAGCGTGTACTCCTGGTTTTAATATGGATAGATACAGAAAGATAAGGATATATGTGGCTATATGTATGTGTGTGTGTATATATACATCTGTATCTGTTGGTTGAAAGGCTAGAAGCTAGGTCACACCAATGGGTTCTAAATACCACTCTCCACTAAAAGGAACCAAGCACCCTTATATAAATGGCTGTTATCAGGGTTAAGGCTGGGAAAATATGAGCTTCAAAATGCTCCAAGCATAACAGGGACATGTCAAAAGGACAAATGACCCAACTTGAAGGGGTTCTAACTGGAAAAATCTGAAATGATTTAAACAAAACAAAACAAAACAAAACCCTTTGTACAAAGCAAGAATCCACAAGTATATCAGATATACATGAATGATTGGAGAAGAAAGAAAAACTCATCTAATAAAGAGTCAAGTAATAAGTAGAGAAGGAAAGATAGAATCAGAAAATAGCCATCTGGCAACCAACATAGTGAAAAGATGATTCAGAAGATAATTATGAATGGATACAAAAAGCAGCAGATTGAGTCAAAGTATGTCTCACAAGCAGATAATTACAAAGGGAAAAACAGTAATTTAACAGTGGAGAAACGTAACAAGCACCATCTTAACTAAGTGACTGAAGTTAATGTAAGTAACACACATAATAGACAATTGCCATCACACACCTCCTGAAATGATGCACTGAGAAAAACACAAAATTACTTCTGGGGATTCCTGACAAATATATATAACCTGAATCTAATTGTGAGGATACATCTGCCAAGACCAAATTATGGGACATTGTACAAAATGACTGGCTTGTGGTCAACCAAACTCCAAGGGTAAAAAAGACAAAGGAACTGTTCCAGGTTAAAGGAGATAGAGAGACTTGACAGATGAATGCAACAAGTGAATGGGGATTTTCTTTTGTTACAAAAGACACTGTAGGGACAACTGGTGAAATCAAAAAACGGTGTACAGATCAGAAAACAGATTACATCAATATTAATTTTAAAATGTTGATCCTTATACTGTGAAAGATAGTCTCTTCGTTTTTAGGAAACAAAGTTCTTAAAAGTATATAAAACATATTTGGAAACAGCAAAAACAAAGCAACCAACCTTTAGCATGCTACCCTGAGGAGCCTTGGGCATACTGTACTGACACAAAATGAAAACTATTTGTAATATTAAATACAGACAAAATGTCCAAAGAACTTGGAATTCAAAATAATACAGGGAAATTGTCACTACAGTATAATCAATGGTATGCAGGGAAAAAAATCCTTCTTGAATACTTTGCTTTGTTTCATGTAAGCCTTACGTTTTTGCTAGAAAGTCATCAGTTGCCTACGACTTTTTCTTATAAACAACCACAGTTCAGAGGAATGCTTTTCCTTTCAGTGCTCAGGATGATGACTCCTTTCTCTTTGTGAAGAGAAAACGATAGGTGTTCTCACAACTTTTCCCTATTCCATCGAGTTCTTTGAGGGTAGGTATACCCATGTGTGGTATACATTAATCACATTAGCAGGGATTGCTTTCAACTTGATTACGAGCCTACCTGTGTGCTAGCCGAATGCCCACTGTGGAGTGGTTGTTGGACAGCGGTTTGATATGCACAGCTCCTTCTCTAACTCCGTGTTTCTCAGGATCTAAAATAACGCAGAGCTGCTGACCTGATACAGTGAGTTCTATCCACACTGCTTGGCTCTGTGAAATCCCAAAGAGTGTTTTTGCTATAGTAAGTCCCCTAAATATGAATGAGTTCTGTTCTGAGACTGCATTTGTAAGTCCACTTTGTTCTCAGTCCGATAAAGTTAGTCTAGGTACCCAAACTGACACAATTGGCTATATAGTATTGTACTGTAATAGGTTTACAATACTTTTCACACAAATAACACATAAAAACACACGAGCATTTTTACTCTTACAGTAGAGTGCCTTGAAAGGTACAGTAGTACAGTGCAACAGCTGGTACTTCCTAGCAGTACCCCCTACATCACCGCTGCTTTTATGCCAGCCTCCGGACATCCTGGACTTGAAATAAAGATACTGTATGATTGTACTCTATACAGTACTGCAAAGTACACAAAAGCACAACCGCGTGTGGAGGATGCAAGCAGGCGACAATATACACCAGGCATGTCAACTAACTTACATGACTGGACATGTGAACACATGTTCATATCTTTGAAAGTTTGAAACTTGAAGGTTTATATGTCGGGGACTCACTTAACTTTAAAAGTCATCAGAAACGATCCTTTCCTCATCTCTGTCTCTATCTAATCCTCTTTACTCGGATGAACACTTGCTAGGTACAATGTACCACCTTCAGGATCAATCCGTTGGTGGCTTTTAGAGGACAGGGTCTCCAGTTAAGAGTACAGAAGGAGGTGCTGGGGAAGGTGGGCAGTGGTGGGTGTGAACTCACTCCCACCCTGCAGTGTAGGCAGTGTAGGGATGGCTGGCTAAGGGGCAGTGAGGAAGGTGAGAGGTCTTTTTGCTTTTAGGTAGGAAGCTTACTAGTGGATTGTGCTTTTTAATCCTGTTTCACCAGATGTGCAGATAACAGAAATATGTTCCAGATTCTGACAACAGGAAGACTGGCAGAGTTTCTGCCGTTATTAAAAAATTGTTTTTCTGCACCTTTGGGTATTTCTTTTTTTTTTTAAGTTTAGTTTTATTTTATTTTTTGGGGGGAAGTTCAAAGAAAGTATCTGAGCTGCTAGTTAGATGCTGTTTTGAAGTGAAGTCTTAAAATTTGAAAGGCACGTAGAGCAAGAAGGAAAGAGAAATGTGAACTGTTCAAAAGCATATATGCAAATGAAAAGAAAACTGGAGTAAAGATAGTTATATATAACATAATCAGGTAAAAGAGTATCTTATAAGATCTGCTCAAATAGTGCACTGAAGACCCAAAAAGAAGCAACATCATCATTCTCTCCATCCCAAGCAATTTTATTTAATTATCAAATGTCATAGCTATTGAGACTAAGAGATAGGCAAGTAATACAGATTAAATATTTTATCTAAAAATATGACAGTTACTTAATTGAGAAGGAAGTGAGTTCTGCCTTAGAATAGCAATAGATTCAGGATGATTCTGTCTATACCATCCATCAGGGAGGCCCAAGGATACTGGGTTGGGTAGCCTATCCCTTCTCCAGTGGATCTTGCGTACCCAGGAATTGAACTGGAGTCTCCTGCATTGCAGATGGATTCTTTACCAGCTCAACTGCATGGGAAGTCCATACCATCCACACTTCACATTAAATTTT